ATATAGTTGAATATTTTCGTGTTGGTTGGAATGTTTGGCTCAAAGCGGCTACAACCAGGTCCCTCAGCACAACTTTGCATGACTTAATCGAAGGTTCCGAATATAAGTTTCGTGTAAAAGCTGAAAACCCTTATGGTGTGAGCGACCCTAGTGAGGAGTCGGAAATTCTTTTTATACCTGATCCAAAGCGTGGCATTACGAAACCTAAGTCAGAAACCAAGCTAACCGAAGAAAAAAGCAAAGCTGCACCTCCACGCCGTAAAGCACTTTCACCACAACGTCCGCACGTAGATGCAGCGACGGAAATATCACCTGGAGCGCTGCGAAAACCAAGACCGCAGTTGCTGGATACCGAAGATCTGCATCGGGAAATGTCTTACGGCACGCCCGACAAAGTTCTAAAGTTGGACGTACGGCGTAGTCCGTCAAATAACAAAACGTCAAAACCTTCAACACCAGACCCACCGCACACGAACCTATTGACATTGGACACCAAGCCTACGCCCACACCGTCACCAACATCGCCAACTCCCAAATCAGCACAGCGTTCTCCGCTGACAGAAAAGAAAACTATGCCCCACTTTTTGCAACAATTGCTTCCATCCAAGGATAAATCACCATCACCATCGAAACAAAAGATTACACCAACTTTGGCAACACCAGAACCAGAACTTACACCCGAAAAACCATCCACTCCAGAAATATCACGTTCATCATTACGACGNCAGAACCCCCGCTCTACAACGTAGTGCTGAGCCAGTGCAACTAGGCGTAAATCAATTGGTGCGACGTCGCTCCGGGCACAGTTTAAGTCCAGCAAAAAATGCTCCTTCTTTAGCGGTCGCCATAGCTACGGGAGCAATGGGAACAATGGACATAGAGAAAGAAACGTCTCCCCTACTAAGCAGGAAAGTTCGCAAGGAAATTGATGAAAGAGCCGAGCGAAACAATTATCAGGAGCGTCAAGAGGAGCTTATAAGATATGAAAGGGCTGAAAAAAGTGAACGAATGGAGCGAAGAAAAAATTCAGCAAATCTAACGGAGCAAATCGACCAATTTAAACAGGCTG